GTCCCTGCCTTCTGTGACCTGGGCAGTGTGGCTCAAGGATTTGCCAGTGAAGACTGAGGCAAAGAAGTCATTGAGTACCTCAGCCTTCTCCATATCCTGGGTAACCAGTTCACCCGTTTCATTCTGGAGGGGACCCACATTTTCCCTCGTCCTCCTCTTGTCACTAACATACCTATAGAAGCTTTTCTTGTTGTCCTTGACATCCCTGGCCAGACTAATTTCTATCAGGGCTTTGGCTTTCCTAACCTGCTCCCTAGCTGCTTGGACAGTTTCTCTATATTCTTCCCAGGCTACCTGCCCTTGCTTCCACCTTCTGTAGGCTTCCTTTTTTTGTTTGACTTTGCCCAGGAGCTCCTTGCTCATCCATGGGGACCTCTTGGTGGATTTGCTTGACTTCCTCTTTGTTGGGATGCATCGCTCCTGAGCTTGGAGAAGGTGACCCTTGAATATTAGCCAGCTGTCTTGGGCCCCTCTTCCTTCCAGGGCTTTGTCCCATGGTATTCTACCAAGCAGATCCCTGAAGAGGCCAAAGTCTGCTCTGCTGAAGTCCAGGGTAGTGAGCTTGCTGAGTCTCCTCGCTGCCCTCAGGATCCTGAATTCCACCATTTCGTGGTCACTGCAGCCAAGGCTACCCTTGAGCTTCACATCCCCTACCAGGCCCTCCTTATTGGTAAGAATAACCATGTCATACCTAACAGGAGTGTAAATGAAGCAGAAAATAGTCTATATGTGCTTTGCGAGAACCGATAAAAAGGCTGATTACCTCTACTGTCATAACTTCAGAGGTAAACAAACACTATCAACCTTTCTCTACCAGGTCATGTCCAAAATACTTTCAGAGTTGGCCACTGATAGCTGGGTCCTGCTATTAAATGCTAAATGGTGTCTTACAGTAAAGTCTTTCCTTCCTTTCTTCCTCCAGCTAAAGATTTTTAGCAGTAACTCTGGAAAATTTTTTTTAAAAAACAATTGTGCATCCACACAATTATATGGTTACACACGTACCTGATGTTGAAGTGCAAATTCTTCCCTGCATATTGCACAAGGCTGTATGGAGTCTCCATGCTGTATGGATCTCTGCTTTATTTTTACCCATTCTTCAGCAGTTAGTGGCAAGGAAGGAGGCTCAACTAGGCCTAATTTCTGAGCTGTAGACAATAAACATCATCAAATGACTGAATAAAACCCACTGGCAGATGCAGACAATGGATTTTCTTCATGTGAAATTAATCGATGATGCACTTATTTAAAAATACTTTATACAGACACTTCATATACATCTATCATCAGACAAACCACTGGCAGGCAACATACTTATTATTAATTAGCTATTCAGAAACTGTCAGAACTTCTTTTACATACAGGATTTACATAGGATTTTTTTAACATGTAAACTTTTACTTGCTGAGTAATTTGAATTTATTTTGATACCTTTTCACGGCTATTAAGATGGAGATTATGAACTAAACAATATAACAATGCACAGTAATGTAATTTCAAATCATTGGTATAAAAAAATCTGTGTCAGAATTAATTTGTGAAGGTTTCTTCAACATTGCATTTTTGTATTCTTAAAATAAAAATGAATAAAGTAGTATAATAAAAAATGGTTGCTGGTGCAAAATACTGAAGTGTAACAGGACTGTGATGGATGCAAGAGAAATAAAGAGCATAAAGAAACACAGAGATGGTCACAAGACACCAGTGATAATGTCACTGTGATAGCTGAGCTTGTCGATCTCAGATGATAACTGCAAGGTGCCTTGCTGCATGTCCATGTGAAATCTCTGCCTTCTCAAAGAAGGAATCAGTGAAAATACTTACAATACTTCCCCCCTCACCCCCACAAATGGCAGATAAAGTCCAGTGTCAGTATCTCAGCAGTAAAAAACCCAGATGCTAGTAGGTACGGCAAAGAATAGATCTTTGTCATCTTTGAAGACCAGAGGAAGCAGCTTGTGTGGACTGACCAAAGTCAATGCAGGAATGTCCAAGGTATGTGTAATAAACCAGTAACATGAGTCCATGATGAGGCCTCAATGGTATTCGCTAAAACCAGAGAGGAAGAGGACATGCAATAGTTAGAATGCAAGCTGATGACACCTAGATGAGAGTTTGAGTTCTATATGGAAAGAAAGGGTTAACACTTTTGTTCACACCAAAATCTTTGCAGAAACCAGACATTAATAAGCAGCACTTATTTGTTCTGTATAAGCTTTTAAAACTCCATCAGACAGATTGCATATCCAAACCCATTACACTAGTTAGTGATGAAGAGAAAAGGAATCCTAACCAAAGAATGGAGTTTTGGTGATCCACTTGCTCAACTATCTGATTATTCTAGGATAGGATTTGTTAATTTTTGAGACAAAAATTCTGCTCCTGAGCTCATCCATTTACAGATGTATATCGTTAATCATTTAAAATTTGCACAAAGCCCTTTGATCTTTTTAAAGAACTTTTGTGAGGTACTGAAGGAATTATAAGCAATACTTTCTTCCCTCTAGTTGAACTATCTGCCTAACCTACTTTGACATCCTTCAAACGTAAATCAATTTGATTCCATGTCTTAGAATGACAGGATGGCTTTCAGATTTCAAGCTGGGTCAGTTTGTGCTTTTGGAACTACATGGAAAATGCTTTCTCTACATACGGTTTGGTTTACATGCACCCCATCTTGTTACTTTTATTACCCTTGCAAAGGCATCAAGTCAAAAGGTAAGCAATGCATGTAAACCTAAGTATCAAAAGAAAATTTGAATCAATGAATGCCGTAGATTACATTAGTGGTCACATATGAACTATCTCAGAGGCACGCTGTTGCGGTTCCTGGACGACTCGGTACCCAGACACAAATACAGCACCTCCACACGTGCGGGAGCTCACAGCTCCGCCTGCAGGCTATGGACCAGAATTCAAACCACTCTGCGTCAAGCAGCAAAGCGCATACGTGTGTGTGTACACAGCACTGTAATTTCAGAATGTAAAATACACACTGTATTAACATAAAATAGTGTTGTCTATCAATTTTGGTGCAGTAAAATGCTTTTATCTGGTGCCCTTGATGGTGTAAAATAATATGAGCTTTACGAGAAATATGAGGGATCTTGCAACTTTTTAGAGTCTAAAAACTAGTTCAGAACATGTATTTTGCATAAAGCTTAGGCATGAATTACTGAAATTGGTAGTTGAGTCACAAGGAAGTTTTCCTAACCAGAAGTGCTTCCTCTCTTGACCATTCAACTCCTGAAGAGCATATATTGCACAGATCAGTGTTTCCGCTACAAAAGAATCAAATTCTGAAATATATGATAAAAGTTTCAGTAAAAACACATCAAGTTTCATCTGACAGTAATACCTCAGAGTACCAGTGAGTGAGTAAGGAAACAAGATCCCGTTTTGATAGTCCAATATACACAAGCGATGGCCTTTACGATGAGAAAATGTGGATACACAGGGAGTGAACAAGATAGCAAACCAGTCACAGCATGAAAGACAGTATCACAACATAAAATTGCCTACCCTTGATTTTCTTCAAGCACTGTGGTCAGAGACTGTTTTAAGGAAGACAATGAGATGGTTTTGTGGAAAGCCTTTTGTATACCCCCGGGGTAAGAAAAACCGCTTATTTAAAACTTTCACAAATGGATGATTAAAGCTGCCAAATAGGAAGAGATTGGTGGCAAAACCTAACTTCTAAATAATATAAACCAGATGAGATATTTGCGAGGGACAAGTTATACAGGTGTTTAGAAGGAAAGCTTTCATACAACAGAGTTGATGAAGGAAAACTGGCAGCAGAACACACAAGAAGGGATACATGGTTGAAGCAAAAGGCTCCATGAAGATATTCTCAAAGCAGCACTTCGAATACGTACAAGCAATGAAAGCCTACATTTATCACAGCTCAAGACATCCAAGAGGTTTCATCCTTATGCATCAAGTTTACAAGCCCAACCCATTTACTGACACACCCATTTACAACCAATGGAGTAATTTATCCTAAAATGAACAATGGCAAAGTGATTACATACATTAACCTTTAAACTATTATTATTTGATTTTAGAACTCAAGTCCCTACTGAGAAAAATTTAATGATAGAGTCCTGTGAGATTTTGTTCAACTACCCACAAACTCAAGAAGAAAAAGTTGCATTAAATTACATTTTCAAAGTTTCTTCACAGCTCTAAGGTTTAAACCACACAATTCTTATTAAGAACAGAAAGCTTGACACAAGCATTATTTTAAAATAACAAGACACTATTGGTGAAAATACTAATAAGCAAAACTCAGAAACAATGGTGATTTTTAAAAATCTTTCAGCACATTCTTTCAAATCACTTGCACAAGCATTCATATGGGACCTTTCAGTCAATGCTGTGATTTAAAGAGAAAATACTTTTTCTCATAATTGCAGAGAACATGCTCACACTTGGGCTGCATTTTTTCTACCACAACCTTTAGCTTCCATAATCGCTCATTATTTATATTTGTGTTAACCCCAGTACCTCTCTGCCGTTCCCCCCCACCCCCATCCTCTTTTCTTTCAAATTCCTCTTCAAAATGAGCCAAAGAAAAAACCCTCCCATCTTTAGAACTATAACCATGTAAACACAGCAATAATCACCTTGTCCTACTACCTTTGTCCCATCCCTTGTTACACTCACTTGTTGCATATTATCTGAAGTTATCCTCTTAACCTCCAGCTGATTCCAAAAGGCAGATGCCTGTGCTTGTATGGAGCCTCATTGATTTACATGGCTCTCTTTAGAGCTGGGACTACTGTGACAGTTACTATAGCAAAGGCAACATGATCTTCAGAGAGGCCTAAGGGTATTTTTATGAACACAACAATTATTAATGATGATGAAAGTTTATTATGCTTAAAACTGAAAATTGTGGAGCTGGAAGGTCCTTTAAGAAATGCCTAATCAAGACAACTGAAAGGATGGAGACAAGATGATATTCATGGCAAGAATACTGTAGAAACCTTTAGAAAAGGAAATACAAGACTGAAACTGACAGTCGGGAAGCACGTTTGGACTCCTAGTCTGTTAAGATGCTCCCTGACTCTGTTTTTTTTTTTTAAGCAATGTTGTCTGTCGCTGCTGTACAACTGTATTATTATAATACTATTTAAAAGTGAGTTTTCCTACCAGGCATCATTCCAAGTCCTCACATCTGTGACTTTTATCTTGTTGCATGTTTGCTTCTAAATTTGAAAAAGGTATTTAAGTACAGGTGTTAATTCTTCCCAGGTTTAGCCCCAGGATCACTGTAAAACCAAACCTTTTTAACTTTGAGTAAAGATGGGTATATATTAACAAAGAATACATTTAATGCAGCACTAGTAAATGTCTTTTTACTGAATAAGGAATAAAATAAACCATTTCAAATAGACTTAAAAAAACAAGCTTAATACTAAAACATTCCCCCCAAATAAATACAGTTATCAAAATCACTGATGTTAGCTTGAGAATATAAGGTAAAGAAACTTATGACAGTCCATATACAAAACATATTAAAAAAAGTGTAAAAGACTTCTCACTGCTTAATGAAGAATTCTTCTTTATCAGGATGCAGTAGCTTCTTCATTTTTACCTTGTCACAAGAATAATATTTTTAAATGCATTTCAGCTATTAAAAGACATGTTCAAGTGATTGATGGCAATTCCATTGTTTACCTGATGGCCTAAGCTGCTGAATTTTGACAAATTTTAAAACAACAATTTATGCTATTTAGCATTAAATTATCTCACTGAACAGAAAGCTGAGCTTCCTCATTTTAGTTTATTTTAAATAAAACTCAAAATTCACAAATCAGAATATAATGGTTTACCTAATGTTAGCTGTGGAGGACTGGGATCAAGAACATACTCCTTTTCTGCTTCTTCCTTGTTTTTGTGGAGAGTGCTCTTTTTTCTTAGTCCAGTATCTACTGTTGCTTTGTTCACGTGTTTATAAGTGTTCTTGATATTCCTTGTCCTTGACTTAAAAGGATCTGCTAATGAAAGATCCTGGAGCTGATGACTGTGTATTATATGATCCTGTAAAGCAACTGCAGAAACTGCTATCATCTCTCGTTTGGAGGAGCGGCCCTAAAAAAAAAAAAAGCTCGAATAGTTATTGTTATAAATGATTTTAAAACATATATATGTTATACTAAATAAATTCTGCTCTTAGCTAATGTTTTTGACTTGTCAAAGGCTTTTATACACATGCAACTCCCATACTTGAAGCCTAACATACAATTACCATAATATGAAATTTAAGATTGATGTTTCTGACACATCCTAGTTTTAACATATAAAAAGTCAAATGAACTCTTTATCATTTATATTAAATAAAATAGCAGTAATTTTAAAATTTTAATTACTGAGCCCATAATTATTATATGCAATAAACTCATTATGGAGTATAAAAGTTTGGCATGCCCAAACACATTTTTACTTCAATATAATTAAAAACAATCCCAAAGGCTAACCTTGCCTTCCAGAACACTGAATATAAACAAGAATATATTATTTTTATACAGAGAATGGGCTTATCTATCTATTCCTCCATTTCTCCCCACCCTTCTGCCTTATTTTAAAAGATGTGAAATCGTACCTTGTAGAAATCATGATGCTCCATCAATAATCTTTAGCTGGTTTTACAAGAGTCTCGTGGCTCTACAAACAGACACATACAAGAACTTACTATTTCTCAGCAGAAACAGCCTCATCTACAGCAAAAGAGAAATCTAAAATTTCACTTTTCTCCTAGGCCTACCATCAGAGACAACTGAACATGTATTCCAGGCACAGAAGTTAACTCTGGATCCATAAACCACCAACGGTGCTCTCTCCTGTCAGCCTCAGTGGACTGCCCATAACGTACACTGAATGCTTTCAAAATGAATGGCAGTAATCACAAATTTCAAGCTGAACTAAGTTAAACATATGGCTGTAGCAATAAACCCCACTGAACTGTTCTGGAGGTTCGTTTACAGTAGACAAGGATGACGTTAGCAACCCCTTTCTGGCCAAAGCTGCCCCACTGCGATCTTCAACGTTCTCACGGGCCCAGCAGGAAAACCTGCAGCCTGGCTCGGTAGCAAAGGCTGGCGGTGGGTGAGAGGGCAACCTTTACAGCTGGCTGTGGCAAACAGGCGCCACTGCTTACCCCGCC